CATAGTAGGAAAAAAATATATACTATGGAAGTGAATGAGACCAGAAACTGTCTGGTTATTTATTATATTAATAGTTTTTTTTTTATTTGGGGTTGCTGCTTTTGTTTCATTTCTGCTGAAAATAACATGGAGCTTGATTGGATGGATATTGTTGTCTACAACAAAATATACTATATGGTAGGTTGCATTTTATTATTTGCATTCAGTACAGACCAACCACAACCCCCTAAAAAAAACATGGCATTCTGTGGCGTTCATCACACAGCTGACGCAGCCCTGCACTGTGAGGTGTTATTACACCAGTGGGCAACCACCCTGACAGCAGCTCTCCGGGGTGGCTGTTTCTCCATGCCCAGCCATGCCCTGCTCTCCATGTAAACAGCCTGCCTTTGTTCAACATCCCCCTTTCACACACACTCAGTCCCTGTCTATCGACGACTGGGCCACACACACAGTGCCCTCTGATTCACAGGCCTGGCACCATGGCGAGCACAGCGGGTACAGAGTAAACATGGTGTCAAAACTCATCACGCACACACAAACCACACCATTCACAACCTCACTGGGTGTCAGTATAAGCAAGAAGGGTTGTACCATGGACACACGTGTATACAAGCACTTGTATTTTCATTTAGTCAGTTGCTTCAGCCATAATGGTATGGAGTTTAAAAAGGCTTGCTGGGACTTAAAACAATAGTTATTCATAAATAAAGTCATTTACTGATCCTCATGTCATTATAAAACTATATTGATTTTCTTTCGTGGAACACAAAAGATGAAGATGTTTTGAAGAATGTTCACGCTGCTCTTTTCCATAAAATGAAAATGGAAGGGGATTGGAGCAATTAAAAAAAACAGAAGTAGTTTGAATGACTTCCAATTTTAAGTAAACTACCCCTTTAACGCCGCTACTGTTTCCCTCGTAAGCTGCCATAGGAGGAAGGAAGAGGGGCTCAGCTGGACCGGGATGCCAGCCCAGGACAAGCAGCCAGGAAGAGGCCCCTGAACCTGAACAGAGCTGCAGCCCAGAACACCAGTCTTCTGCGGTCATTTGATGAAATGTTTCATCGGAGTGGACGTGTGGGTGGTGTGCTGTTGATCTCCAGTGTGCCCATCACTCAAACAAGTGCAATACGCTGATTTCACGCAGCAACCATTTTGAAATCGAAAGCGAAGCTCTGGTGGGAAGAACCCCGGAAGTACAGATAGACAACAATGCCTTTGAGTACCAACCTGAAGCTGCTGCCGCAATTTACACTATTGGATGTTAATATCCAATAATGGATATTTATATAGTTCTTTCCTGCTTTTTTACGTTCTGAAATAAACAATTCTATTTCTAAATAAATTTCACTGTATATAGTCTAAAGTATGAAATGTAGCTCTACATTTTTAGAATAACTAATTTCTACAATAAACGTCGCATTCGCGACTCTGCTATGATTAAAGGCGAAACTTCCGGTTTTCTTCCCACCGAAGAGTCTTCAAAATGGCGGCTGCGTGAAATCAGCGTTTAACCACTACACTCTATCTTGCTTTCGAGTACATGTTTAAACATAAGGGCAGATCTTGATTGAAAAATTTGTTTTGTCTGGATCTAGTCTTAAACAGCCCACTAAGACAGGAATAGCCAATCAGATATTTTACAATTTTAGGGGCTGGAAAATATAATTCTTAGAACAAATCATAACCATGCTGAAAAGACCAGCACAAACGCCCAGGTATTGTATTATCATGGCTAAAACAGAAGAACACGGTGCTAGCAATGCCTAGGTCATGAGTTTGATTAATGCAACGTAAGTCTCTTTAGATAAAAGCGTTAAAATGCATACATGTACATTTCCAGGCTGGTTTTGTGCCAGTCTACCAGCAAGTTCTTTGTGGTAAACTGGTTGACTAAGTCTTGCTGGTAAAATCCAGAGTATGAATCCAGTCTGGGTCTAATTCTCATGTTTTCTTTAATGTTCAAGACACACACAAACACACAGTCATGTCACCTGTGTACATAGCGTTGCTGATGGATGGAGTGGATAGCGAGCACCATCTCCGCCACGTAGAACTTGGACATGTCCTCTGGGAGTCGGTCTTCAAATTTACTAAGCAAAGTCAGCAGGTCACCGCCCACATAATAATCCATCACCAAGTACTGTAGGAGGAGACATTATCATCTATTATCACACAACACCATTTAATTATACAAACACTGACTCAGCACTTCATAACATCAACCGAAAGACATCAATGAGTAGCATTATTAGCATATTTTAATCACACAAGCACACGCATAACATGTCATAACAAGCAGAACTCTGGATCAGTGTGTTTGAGGATTGAGAGGTTGAGTTATAATCATCAGTCACTCTGATAAACTTGATATTTGAATCATGGTCAACAAAATGATATATTAATTGCATTATATAAGCCATTTTATTTATGAATGTAGTTTAAAGTAATTCAATAATTCTATTAATAAAAACTCTTAATTTGATAGCCTACATGCTTACAGGTCTTCTCTGGATAGCTTCTCTTTTAATTACACCCAGAATGGACTTTATTTATACATTCAAGGTGTTGTTATTTTTACATAAAACTAAAATCTTTAAAAAATAAATAAATAAATAAATAAATAAAAATTTATTAATTTGAAAAATAAATTAAGATAATATATTTTGAACTTAAGCTTATTTTATTACAGTTAATTATCAAGGCAAAATTTCAGATTTCCGTTTAGGTTTTGAGTATTAAAATGAAAAAAAAAAAATAAAATAAAATACTGAAATAAAATCAAATGAAAGCCAAGTGGAAATATATATAAATTTCTTAAACTATTAAATATGACAAAATGTCACAAACTAAAATGAAAAATAATTTTAAATATTAAGAAATATTATAAAAGCATACAATTAATAGTGAAACTACTGTTAAGGTTTTAAAATATGACAGTTGAAGTGTTAAAACGTGATCAGTGATGGCTAAAGTTCAGTTACGTGCTATGAGAAAAAGTGCATGTAGGGACAGAGATGCACACCAGGTAGTTGTCATCCTGGAAAGCGTAATGCAGGGTGGTGATCCACTGGCAGTCTCCATTCACCAGGACGTTCCTCTCTTCTCGGAAACACGCCGTCTACATAAGTTGCAAAGAGACTTGTTAAATCAAAATATTAAAAACAAACAAAAATTTTTTTTTTTTTTCCTTTCATAATGCACATGAACTTGGAAGTAAATTTTGGTCGACCTTTCAGTATCTCTACTACAACAATACTGAAGATTAGAACTTTATTCAATTCTTTATTAATAATAAAACATTATTTTAATTATATCTAATGAGATATTAACAACATTATTATTATTATTATTATTATTATATAGAATATTTGAATTGTATTTAAAAAAAATAATACATGTGTGTTGCCATGAGTTATTTTTAGGAAATGTAGTCATTTAGTTGTGTAGTCATGTAGACAGAGTTTCTATGCATCTAGTTCACAGTAGATTTTATTTCAATATGTGCCTCATTTATTTTATTAATTGTGCAGCTCTAGTTTTTAGGGGGTACACAAAGATCGGGTAACTCATTCAATGAATTAAACTACATCCAGTGCAGTGATGATGTACATGGCTTTCTCCTTTCAGATGTTAGTCTTAGTTCTGCAATCTGTTTGAACTGGGACTCTGGACATGTGAGGAGTAAAGAGAGCCCAGTGAAGCTCAAAGAGGATTACTGACAAGCCAAAGAGACCAGAGTTCCCCTGACATGCCTCTGGGAGGCCCGTGGGCACTGTCAGGACTGATCGGACTGAAACTGGGGCAAGAGCGAGCTGGATGAGAAAGGAAAATGACCTTGTACTTCTATACACTTCACTAGAGACTACAGGTTTGATTGCAGTCAATAAGCCATTTAGGAAGAAGCTTGATACTGACTAGAAGATAGTGTTGCAAAATATATCAATATTTCGATGTGTATCGATTCTAAAATATCTGAAACGGTTCCAATACTCCTTTTCTGCTGTATAGATACACCAATGCCAGCTGCACATTCACTGTCTTCTCTCTGATGGCGAATTAACACACACACACACCTCATTTCACTTCACAGTATAGACATTTTCAATTGATACACCGTCATTCGTCTCATTCACTCCAATAGAATCATTCCCACAGGTTTCGCGCCAACACAAAAAGCGTGCGTAACAATGAACTATGTGGCGCTCACATACAGCCGTCTATCAAACAGCTTGGGAGTATCAATTGACTACTTTTTAGTGGTCAAATTCACTACAATTATGTCAAAATGCCATCTTGCAGAGTATTTAGGTAAGTCGGTTTGTATTGTAGTTGAGTTAGAAAACGCATGTTTTGTAACATTACATTGGATCTGTGGTTAAGCTCTTAAAGTGACAGGAGCCTAATAATCCCGCTGCTGTTTATCCATTTACCATGGATTTACTGTAGTAACACTAACTGGAGGACCATGGTATAGTGGCAGAAATGTGGGATATTCATACAGAATTGTATTTTATGTTTAATGTAGATATGTATTAAATGTATTTAAAGAGCAATGGAATCTAATGACAGTTTTTTGACAGATTAAGACAAAGCTATTGTGCATTTTTGTAAGTGCACTTCCACATTTTTTCCATGTTAGTGAGGTGCTATATGCGTGGTTTTAACTGTGGTTATGATCTAAATTGATGCTATGATTGAAGATAAAACTTAACTCAATTTTACCATATAAAAGTTATTTGTTTTTGACATTTAAAACCATTGTAGTTGAAGCCTTGAAAGATCTAACAAACGAAAAAATACCCATGAGCAGAAATCTCTTTACCTCGGCCCTCTTCAGCATCTCCCACTTGTTGAGGATCTTCATGGCGTAAACACGCTCGGTGTGTTTCATCTTCACCACAGCAACCTAGACAGTTAAGATGAGGAGTTAGCCAATGAATACAAACAAATTAAAACTCAGCATGATTCAGAGGCTGTGGGGAATTTGACCATTTTTATTTGCCTCATTTATTCATCGTATGTGCTCGTGGCCCACTTAGATTGAAAGCCCACAGGGAAAGAAACTCTGAATGAGATGCTTTTGATCTCTGATGCCTCTGAAAATCTGAAAAAAAGGAAAAGCTGAGACTCGAGACTTCTGACTTTTTGCCTAAAAAGAGAGACGGCACACAAGAACTGGCTAATTAAGGCCACAAGTATGCAGTGCACCAAAAATGACAAACGAGTGGAAGTGACTCAGTATTAGGAAAGGGAAAGTTTGGAGGAGTGTCCAGTTGGAGGTTATTCATGTGGGGTGGGGAGAGCAAACACCCTCCCGGTAGGAAGAGACACACCAGGCAGGGAGGAGATAAATGAATGCAGTGATAACTGAAGGGACTGTCAAATTGGTGACTGACATTAGTAAACTTGTTACCAAGGACCAAGGCCTGTAAAATTAGTTAGCAATGTATGTTAGTGTCATGACTTAAAGGGACACTTCATCCAAAAATGTATTGTATTTTTTATAAGCCTTATTACTTAATTTCATACTTTGAAGACAAGAGAGAAATTTTTATCATTTCCATACATTGATTTTTAGTTATTAAATTTAATTTAGCTCCAAAAACAACAACAAAAAGCACTAAAAATGACTTTCGATCAATTTAATGCATTCCTGCTAAAAAAAATTTTTTAATTTATTTAAAAATTAAATTTTACTGACCCCAAACTTTCGACCGTTAGTGTATATAGCACACAAGTCATAAGGATAGGGGTTATCAGATGTCACGTTTTCCAAGTCAGGCGTGAAGATGTCCATCCCATCCAGTATTACACCATGAGAAATCTGGTCACCCTCCATATTAAATCACATTTTAATTTTTTTCCCTTTAGGCCGTGTGTCCACCAAAGTGTTTTTAGCCCGCTGAAAACCGCGTGCTTTTGGCGCTTGAGAGCGTTTTGGCAGCGCAGTGTTTTTTCTGTTGAGATGTTTTGCTGCCATGATACAAAATATCCGCAGCACAGTTTACTTGTAACTGATTTCGCAGATAATTTGTATCATACTAAAAATTAATTTTTCATCCATTTTGTTCAGTTAGCTTTGCTGGTTGTCGTTGTACAGAAAGAACGTTGTGACAGTTGGTCGGTGTGGTATTAGTCCCGCCCCTCCTCCACTGTGTTTGGACGGGTGGGTAAAAAAGTGACGAGCGCTGCGTTTTATCCAAAGTTGAACATTTTTCAACTCTCGGTGACCAGTTTAAAAAATAAAAAATAAAATAAAATAAAAAAACGCTGGGCGCTCAGCGCTTCAGCGTGAAAAAAAACAAAAACGCGGCGCTCCCATTGAAAACAATTGAAAACATACGGCTGGTGGAAAAATGCTTTGGTGGACACACAGCCTTAGAGATCTTCTTTTGAAGAAATTAAGTTATAATTAAGTTTGGAACAACTTGAGGATAAGCACGTTTTTATTTATGTGTAATATACGCCTTTAAACCGGAGAGGAGCCATTAATAAAACTATATTATAAACATCTCTGTGAGATCCAAGTGTTTGCCCCATGACTTATGTATGCCTGACCTTTGTTATTCTGATATCTTCTGTCCACTAGCTATTTGTGACCATCCAGTCAGCTAATGTTAAGTGGAGTCATGAACTTCCCTGTACTTTGCCTCGCTGCTCGGGACACATCACATGATGTGTTTACCCTCAGTGGAGGAACAGTGTTCCCCTCACGTGGACTCACATACCTGCCCAAAGCACAATGTGCTGCTTCAGCAAAGAACACAGTACAAACTGTAACTTTGCATAGTAAGGGCAAATTAGGAGCCCTGCTGCCGTTTTCTGCTTTTTTCGACCCTTTGATGTTCTCTAGAGTGTGTTTGTGCATGTATCAAAGCACACTTTGACGACAAACTCAAACAGTCTTAAATAACACACATGCTTCTTATCTGTAAGGCTCCCAACCACAGAAGATAACTGACCTCATTCCAAAACAAACTGAACCCTGAGTGCTCAGAAACCCCCAATTCCTCATCCCACAGTGTCTCCTGTCCTCTTTCCCTCTCTCCTTTTTTAGACACACACTTCCACAAAGGCAGCTTGACCTGATTGAAAATGCAAGGGAGGTGCATGAAGGAGAGAAAGCGGGTGACCAAAGTGGACGCTGCAATGCGATCGTCACCAACCAACTCGCATCCAAATAAGAGATCATGTATATAAGCCATAAGGTCAAAGGTCAGAATGTAAACCGTAATTCTGATGTAAACATCTATACAGTATAAATAAGTCAGTCAGGAAGTGAATAACTAACTCAATCAATAAATGTGAAATGACACTTAACCAATAAGGGTGTCATCATTTCGATTTTAAATCAAAATCGATCGAAATCAATTAAAATCGAAATGATCTAAATTAATTCACAATCGTTGATGTTGCCACGCCCCCATGTCACGTCCACAAAAAAAAAACAAAAAAACACTTGTGTTGATTAGGTGCTGCGAGTCTGTGATCAACCTCCTCTAACTTAGCTACAGCCATTCAAAGAACAGCATGGCAACTGCAGAATAGCATGGCAACAGCAAACCTTATTGCGCTCACAGCAGAGAGGGAGAGAGCGAGAGACCTTGCATGTGTGCCTCATGAAGCGCATGTAAGACAGAGTATCCTGATTGGCCGATTGATAAAAATCGAGAATCAAATCGAACCGTGACCTTAGAATCGAAAATGTAATCGAATCGAGAATTTGGAGAATCGTGACACCCCTAATAACCAATGACTGCAACATCACTTAAACAAGAATGTAAATGTTGACCCAATAGGGCAAGAGCATCCAGTGAATTGTCCCAAAATCCTGTCACACCAGTCCCGGATCATACTTAATATTGAGCATTCCAACAGCTGGGAAACCGAGTTTCATATCTTTAAATCCATTAAAATTCCGGACATTTTTTTTTTTTATTGCTAGGCTCTGAGATAAATTACAGCCCTCTTTTTATTCTATACCAGATTTGACATTGGACGAGTCAACACCAAATAATAACACTATTCAAGATGCTTTGGGGACAACAGGAACCCTGCAATAATAAAACACTGGACTTCTGCCAGGACTCTGCACTAGGACCAGCACGTGGGTCTGTGAATCTGTCTCCAGCTTGTAGTTGGCAAACAATCTTAATTATGTCGGCGTACCTTCAGAGAGCAGAAGCCGCCATCTTCACTAAATCAATATGAAGGACAGGGTCTGCGTGTACTGCGTGACCTAACCATTCATTACATGAGTGATTCACTCAATTGAACAGATAAAGAGATCAACGCTCAACCTCAACACGTAGAGCGTTCCGACTCTGGTCATTACAGGCTGTTTTGTTTGCTATGTAGTGACTCACAGTGACGTTATGTAACAAATGTCTGCTTCAATCTAGTTCTCCTTGATTCCCCTCCCTGTTCCATATTTTCTTTCTTATTTAGTCAACAATGTAATTATTCTGAGTAAGTCTCAGGTGAGGCAAAAAGGAGTGCCATTTAAGTACGTCACCCACTTTAACCCACAAGAAGGGTTAAAAATACAATCATGTTAAAAACACACAGATGACTTTCTTTTTGGACACTGATGGACATTGTCAAGCTTTAAAAAAAAAAAGAAGTCGTCACAAAAGTACCATAAAAAAGTAGTTTGTAATGAGTTATTTAAAGTTTCCTAAAGTTATACGTTCTCAAATCTCAGTTCCACAAATTGTCTTGCTGATCATTTATTGGCATCGGTAAATATTCATATTTAGATAAATTTAGGTTCCTTTTCTTGTTTACAAGATTCCCTTGAAGCACTAAAAATATTTTAGTCTTTCATGGTCTATTAATTATATGTTTTATTTAAACCACATTTTTCATAATTTCGGCAAGTTATCGGCATGAACCTAAACATTTTTGGCACAAAAACGTAACATTCAATACATCCCTAGAAAAGTGAGATTTGAAAGATAATCAGTATAAAACTATGACGACTTAAAGAGACAATAAAAAATGGACGAAGTTACATATTTTCCTCCATTGTGGCATTCGAGTAAAACAGATTATCGGAAACAGACTTGATTCCATCCATCGGTTGTTGAGAAAATGAAGGCAGGTTTGAATGCAAGCCTGAGGTCAGTTGTTAAAAAGGGGAGGGGTTTAAGAAGACTAAATGGTTAGATAAGTCATTTATGTATGTAAATTTACCAGACGATCGAGTTATGACATTTTGATTAGGGTTGCAAGATTTTAAAAATTAAAAACAGAAAAAAAAATTTGCTTGGATAAATTGTTTGCAATAAGATCAATAATTATTTTATGACTTGGAATACAGCTCATGAGTCATATGGACTCTTTTGTTACCGTGATGGTGCATTTGCAAAAGATTGCAAGCTTCAGCAAGAAAGAAAATGAAGCTTAGTTCAGTCAAACACTTTTTCTATTATTTTAAGCAGTCCCAAATTCCAGGCCTTCAGTTGGGACCACAACATCAATCATAAACAGGAAATGCAAAAGATTTATCTGGAAGTACATCCTGTAATGTTAGAGCCACAGGAAACGGCTGGAAAGGGGAACAAAACAGCAGCATCACGTTCACACATGAGCCTGAACGCTCGAACCGACACAGGCAGCAGCACAGGCAACAAAAGCCTGGCTTGATGATAACAGAAAGACTGCGAAATCCCCCGAAGATCTGAGTCATCACTAGATCCACATGACCAAAAAAACCCAGCGACTGAGAAGGAAGGGGTTATTGAGGTCTCGGAGGCTGAAGAAGGGACAATGAACCGCACAAATTACATGCGGAGTGAGACCCTATTTTTACGAAAGTCACTCCTTAGAGACGGTTCTGGTTTCCGGAGCCTTTCCTGACAGCTGCACCGTCCTGCCCTGCTTCCTGTGCCACCACTGCCATTCCTGACTGGAATCTACAGTGAGGAGGAGAACTACGGGCAGATCTCTCCTTAAAATAAAGTCTTATTCAGCTTCAGAGTCAAGCAATGAGACGCCCTATTTGTTTAAAGCAGAGTTGCCTTCTGTTTCAGATGAACAGAAATACTGAATTGGATGCATTTGGAAATGAGTCAATTGCACATTCATTGACGAGGGAGGTATAATGACAGAGCAGAATGGTGTGACACAGCAAAAATATTTCTCCTAATTCAGAAATATCTGATAATCTGTCCCCACATGATTGTTAATATTAACTGGGAATTTTCAGTTTGCTGAAATCGTAATAATCCCTTTTTTTTTTTGTAAAGTCGACCTAACAGAAGCAAACAAAGTATTTGAAAATCAGACACAAACACTTCATCCTTAACAAGTATGTTTAGTTAGCAGGTTTAATTAGGAAAATAACTACATTCCCCTGAAGCACTGCGAATGATTTAAGGTATTGTTAAAAATCTATTTCCCTGTGAAGAAAATGAATACGATTTTTACTTCGAGAACCCAACTGTTGTACTGTACCATGATTATAATTGTGCATGTAAACATACTTATTGATGATGCAAACTTTTTGGGATTCAGTTCCAAAAGAACAAGTGGGATGGGGTTGAAAACAAAGGGTCTGTTCACACTTGTAGTTCGGTCCCCGAACTTCAATCTAATTCAAGTGCGGTGAACAAGAGGATGAGAAAAAAAATGTAGGCGAGAAACAGTGATGGAAGGCAAAAAAAAGTGCACCGTGCATGTAGAGAATAGTCCAAGTTAGGGATGTCACGATACCAAAATTGGTATCGGTACCGATTTAAATTTTACGGTTCTTGGTACCAATTTCGGTACCACGGCAAAATCACTTTGAACTATTTTTCCAATTTATTTAACTATTTGAAGAAAATTAATAAATTAAATTCAATGACTTAATTATTTATGACGGTAAATTTATGAAAGCATTGAAGGCTACATGCTGTTTAAACGAAAATATTGATGATATTGAGAAATATTGTTTAGAAAAATTATTAGTAGTAGTATTTTTTAATTAATGGAGACGTAGTTCAATCTATTGTACAGTACCCTAATATAATTATTTCTGTAAATTTCTTTAAGTTAAACCAAACTTATTTTGACGGGTTGCCGCGAAGACCTTTGAGTTTCTGTGCGTGTATGATTGATATGACGATAGTTTTTCTCAAATGAAACGGTAAAATGTTCATGAAGTGACTCCCAGAGATGAATGGAATCATGAGTCATGCGTCATCATATCGTGAGGCAGCAGAGACTGAAAACAGTGCGAGCGTCACTCGTGCTTCAGTGTGTGTGTGTGTGAGGTAATGTTAAATGAAACCGCATGGTACCTACGATACTTGGTACCGTGACATTTAAAATTTTTTAGTACCGACTTGGTACCGAGTATTTTGACAACACAAGTCCAAGTGTTATAGCGCAGGAACGAGTAGCACATTCCCCTGTAAAAATGATTAGTCTAAAATGCCTAGATTTATGCCGGCCCAAGAGTAGCACCCCAACACTGGGCCAAGATCCCTGGGGAATTGGCAGGGGGGAGAGAAGGGAAACTCGGATGAGAGGAAGGGGTTAGGTTCGTGGCTGCTGATAAGATGCTCGAGGGGGACATGAATACTTCACTGATAGTCTGGGGTTTTCGTTGAACACAAAATGGCTCATGAAAACAAACCACACAATATGGCAAAGGCTGTAGAGATTCAGATGTGATTTCTCAGCACTTTTAAACATGCCAAAAAAGCAGCAAGGGTTCATTGAATTCCTTACCTCTCCAAAGGCTCCTCTGCCGATCACTTTGAGCATCTCAAAGTCGTCTCTATGAAGGCGCATTTCCTTCACAGTGGTTGTGAACGGCTTCACTGCAAAGAGAGACAGAGATTCTTAGTTATGATCTCTACTTTTAAATGGTCGTCAATAGAGGAAGACGCGGACACACCAAAATAGCCAAAATTTGAGCCACTGATATAGATGCACCAATATTAAAATGCTGGCATACAGTTAAGCTTTTTATTCTGTTATTGGCACTAAAAAAAAAAAAAAAATTTAAATATTTTTAAATATTTATTTAAAAATATTAATTTTGCCTAAAAATTTAACAGTGCTATTAAACTATAAGTATTTTAACTTATCAGCACTGGAAATGAGCATGCACAATAAAAATAATAAAATAAACTAAATCTAAATAAAAAAAATAATTATTTACATGAAGACTAAATAATAAAGTAATACAGAATATTTTTAATAAGAAAGAATTTTTTTTTTAATTTATTTATATAAAGTGTGTGTGTGTATACTGTATATACTAAATGGAGTTTGATTTATATTGTCACCACAGTCTGAACACAAGCTAAGCTTCGGCGACTCCCATCAAATCCAGCAGTAAAGCGATTAAAGAGACGATGTAACCTAAACAGCGTGTGATACATTTCATGTTGTCCAACTGTCGTCCCTCCTGCTTTACGAGTCACTGCTGGGGGCCTGGCGGGCACCCAAGATACCGCTAAACCAGCCTGAACGCCTCGCCATATGAGGACATACGCCGAGTCTCATGTAGTTACAAGAGGCATTTATCACTCATAAGGGCTCTAAACTCTAAACACACGCCAGGCCTGCGCCTCCGCCGTTCAGACAGAACCGCACGCTCGAAGCCGCATGGAAAGAACATCATCTGCTTTTAATGAGAAGATCCCTCAAAGTGGCCCAGCATCTATTGACAGCTTTATAGCCCAGAATGCACGAGGCCAGCTCACTGGTATGTCCCTCCCAAGACAGCAACAACAGAAAAAAAATTCAGACATTATCTCTAATTTAGGAAGCTACTAACAATACCATTGACAACAGAAGTGTATAATGTTGATTCCCGACATGCAGGCTACAAATGAATGCTGATGGTACATTTTCTATTACTAAAAAGATAAAAGCAAACACTAATACTTTCTATTATACAGTTTATTTTGTTGAATAGTTCTATCTATCTAATAACATATTAGACAGAACTGTTAAACAGAGACCGTAATAAAGATGCTGAAGGAGCGCTGTGTGTGCTCAGGTGCTGGCGTTCTTAGTGCTGTCAAAATAAAAGTCCGGGGTGCGGTCTTCCGTTTAAAAAAAAAAGAAAAGCCAAACATCGTCCGACCACTACTTCTGAACAATTATATTGATTGACAGGGAAAAAATCTAATAAATAAAACTGAAATAAATAAAAAAGAATAAATAAATGAAAATGTAGGTGACATGGAGGGATGGATATTTCCCACTGAGAAGTAGTCTCAGTCCCAGACGTGACACCCACGGTCTGATGCATAAGGCAAACAATATGGGAAACAATTTAGGAGTTAAGAATTTGTGTGTGCCGTGTTTTTCCAATGGTGACAGCATGACCCCTCATCGAAAAATAAAGCAGTTGTGTTTGCAACTGCGACAACGAATGCTTATCAGGATCAACTAAACGCTGGATTTTTACAATGGAAGTATGTGATATTTGTGGCTCTTGAATGGATAGTAGCGCTGCACACAGGTCTGTTAGGGACTTTACATGTTCATGGCCCTAAACGATGTGGAACAAAATGAACTATGATTGGTTCTATGTCAGTCAGACATCCTATTGGTAGGGTCGTGGCCAATGAAAGCTGTCAGCTGTCAGTCTGAAGGTCTGGTTACACGAGACTGAGAAGTAAATCATTACAAATAATGTTAATTCTTAGTACAAAAACATGTACACTCCCATACACAATCATTTTAAAAGCACTCCTTGGGGACAAAAACAGCTTTTCATATTCAAAATTGTTTGCTTTGTTTTTCATACATCTGATAATCTGATAATCCTCCCAGCCCCCAAATATAATAAGGCATTTCTTCAAGTCTCCAGGTCCATGTATTCTTAATTACAATAAACTCTCATCACTCACATACTAAATGATTATGGAAACATCAAAACACCAGCTGCAGGACTGGAAATATGAAAACAAGCTGCTAGAAAAGTTCAGGCGTCCAACAGAAACATGGAGGCAAAAGTGAAACAAAAAAAAAATCACTTTGAAGAGAAAGCATTAAGCTGGAAGCAGAGGCTGTCTGGTTGTCTATATAAATACACAACAACCCACACACTAAAAAAAAGAAGAAGAAAAAAAAAGGTTTGGAAACAATAAGACTTTTTTTGAAAAAAAAAAAGTTCACTTTTATTTAGCAAGAATCCTTCTTGCTAAATAAAAGAGAAATTTTCTTTCCAAAAAAAAAAAAAGTCTTATTGTTGCATTGCATTAAATTGATCAGAATTGATACAATTATAATGTTACTCAAGATACCCATTTAAAACAAATGCTATTCTTTTGGACTATTCCTAAAATAATCCTGGAAAATATTGAAAATAAATGAAGCAGCACTGCAGCACTACAGTTTTCATTCAAATAGAAATTTTTTTTATTTTTATTTCACATTATATATATTTTTGCTATTTCTGAACAAATAAATGCAGCCTGTGTGAGCATTGTAAACATTTAAAAAAACATTTAAAAATTGATTACAAACTTATAAACTATATATATTTTATTTTACTATTTTATTTTTAATTTTTTTGGCCCATCTCTAATACTACATTAAGACTGCAGGTAAATATGATCCAAATCCATTCAATTCTGTGCTCATGCGAGTCAGATTTTAAAGTTGTGAAAGTCATTCAGTGGAAGGACAGTGATGTGTCAAGTATAACATTGACAGCTCTACTGTATATACAAGCAAATCATGAGTATACTGTATATACTCGCATCATAAAATGTAAAAAGATTCATGTATACATATTTTTTCAAAATTTTTTCGCTTCCTCATCTTTGTTTTTTACATTGCATAAATGTGCTCGTTTCCGCGGCAGATCACACCATAAATAAACATATAATAGATTAATGTCCTTCGTGTTAACTTCCGTATGACAACATGATGCATGAGTTCTTTTGCGCGTGAAAACAACAATGTGAACCGCAATACAACAAAATCTGATCAGAGCAATAAACCGGAATTGAGCACTAAGGCTCGCAGTGTGAACGTAGCCCAAGAGTTCGTGTCTAAATGGTTCTAGCTGTCACGCTGTATCACTTCCTGCATCCAGAAGAGCTGTGCGGTTAGCATTAGACGGAACACTGGAGCACTGTGTACAAAGACTAAACTGTGCTAGATGAAGCACTGAACCATCATCATCCTCTAGCAAACCTGTCTCAATGCTACCGACATGGTAACATCACTCCCTGTAACTGCAATTCTTAAAAATATCTTCACACACATCATCTTACGATGTTTTCATGGAGGACACGCTTGACCTGACATATAAAAGCTCCAGCTTTATGAGTTTAAAATAGACTGCTTGATCCCATGTGTGTCAGAGCGGAGCGTCTCCAATCAATATGACACAATTAAATATTTAACAATGACGATGGGTCTCAGAGAAAATAAAGCCAAATTAAAAATACCTCTTCCCTATTTTATGTCTAGTTGCTTTACCTTGTTGGTAACACTTTACTAAAAGGTTCCATTAGTTAACATTAGTTAACTACATTATTTAAAAAGGCTTTTAAAGGTGACATATTATACCCGTTTTCATATTATGTAATCTATTGTGTCCCCAGAATGTGTCTGTTAAATTTCAGCTCAAAATAACCCTCAGATCATTTATTATAGCTTGTCAAATTTTCCCATTTTTGGGTGCGAGACAACAAATGTTGTCGCCAACGACAGAACAGTTTGCATGCTTTGTTCAAACTTTTGTCATTGCGTTAGAACTGGTTACGCTGTTGTCGCCCGCTGTTACACAGCACTTTTGAGCTTCTGCAAGAACCCATGAGATTCATTCTTGTGTTACGCAGCACTTTTGAGCTTCTGCAAGAACCAATGAGATTCATTCTTGTGTTACGCAGCACGTTTCAGCTTCCGCAAGAACCAATGAGGTTCATTCTTGTGTTACGCAGCACGTTTGAGCTTCCGCAAGAACCAATGAGATTCATTCTTGTGTTACGCAGCACGTTTCAGCTTCCGCAAGAACCAATGAGGTTCATTCTTGTGTTACGCAGCACGTTTGAGCTTCTGCAAGAACCAATGAGATTCATTCTTGTATTACGCAGCACTTTTGAGCTTCTGCAAGAACCAATGAGGTTCATTCTTGTGTTACGCAGCACGTTTGAGCTTCCGCAAGAACCAATGAGATTCATTCTTGTGTTACGCAGGATGTTTGAGCTTCGGCAAGAACCAATGAGGTTCACTCTTGTGTTACGCAGCACGTTTCAGCTTCCGCAAGAACCAATGAGATTCATTCTTGTGTTACGCAGGATGTTTGAGCTTCCGCAAGAACCAATGAGATTCATTCTTGTGTTACGCAGGATGTTTGAGCTTCCGCAAGAACCAATGATGTTCATTCTTGTGTTACGCAGCACTTTTGAGCTTCTGCAAGAACCAATGAGGTTTATTCTCGTCTGCAAGAACCAATGAGGTTAATTCTCATGTTACGCAGCACATTTGAGCTTCTGCAAGAACCAATTAGGTTCATTATCGTGTTATGCAGCCTGTGGTGCCTCTGCGAGAACCAATGAGGTTTATTCTCATGTTACGCAGAATGTTTGAGCTTCTGCAAGAACCTATGAGGTTCATTCTCTTTCATGCTCTGTTTTGGAGGAGGTGTGGCTTTGGAGACGCTCTGAAGGGAGGGTGGGATCTCATACTTTCAAAGCTAGCTTGCTTTTGCCAGCCTTTCTGAAATGACAAACCCTTCCTTTAATGGATTAACTAAAGTTGTCCAATGGAACCTTTTTACCATTTTGTTTAATGCCACTCCAATTTGTAAAGGTAGAGTTTGTGACATTAGCCCTATCATCACACTT